GGGTGCGGGTGCGGGTGCGGGTACGGGTGCCAGGGCAGCCGCGAGCGGCGCCATGCCTACCGCCGCCGACATTCCGCAAGAAGCGCTGCGCGTGCCCGAGGCGCCGCATGTGTCGCACCGCGCCTACGATCCGTCGCGTCAGGAAGCGGCGCTGGCAGGGCCGGCGCCACCACGTCCAGTGGCCGCCATGATGTCGGTGCCTGCATCGCCGACGCCCGTGTTCGAATCGCGCGAAAAATCGCGGCCGACGGGCATCATGGCTGGGCCGCCGCGTGCTCGCGCCAATGCCGAGGAGATGGAGGCGGCGCTGCGCGAAAAGGGCCTGCCCTCGCCGAACGAGGCAGCCTTTGCGCAGAGCAGCATCGGTGGTATGACGCCGGTGCCAGCAGCAAGCACGGCTGGCAAGCGCCAGTCGTTCTCGGTCGCCCCGCCCGTCGGAGAGATGGTCGCACCACCGTCGCACCGACACTCGATGATGGCGCCGGACACGAGCATGGCGATGGCTAACAACCACAAGCGCAGCGTGAGTCTCACATCGCGTCGGGCGCCCGTCGCTCTCGCCACGCCTGCCGTCGCTGCTGGCGTGGTTGGCGTTCCTGCCGATGCAGCCGCGGCTGACGGGCGCAGAAGTTCAAACTTTTCGCCTGCACGCGCGGACAAGAATGCTGCGCAACTGCAGACGCCGGCCAAGTCGGAAGCGGGCACGGCGGCATCTTCGCCCTCGGCCGCCAACACCAGCTCGACGCTCGGATACGGAGCGACGCTGGCGCGCCGCTTCAGCTCGTTCATGAGCCGCTCGCCGTCGCAGCCGCTGGATGCCGAGGCGCGCGAGCGCAAGAAGCAGAGCAGGATGAGCACAGGCGGCATGCTGCTGGGCAACAGTGCGCAGCAGCAGCGCCGCGGCAGTGCGCACATGGCGCTGAGTGGCGTGCAGGAGGACAATCGTGCGTCGGGCGATGCCTACGACTACGACGAGGCGGAAGAGCCCGCAACCATGCACGAGGACGACGATGATGTGCCGCTCAGCAATGCCACCACTGTGCGCCGCTCGGGCACGCTCGGAGACATGCCCGTCTCGCGTCAGAACGCGCGCAACGTGCGAGAGGGCTCGATGGGCGCTGCTTCGGTGGGGCGTGCGGCAGGGCTGTCCATGTCGCCCAAAGCGGCCGCTGCGTCCAACGCGCGACGGCCGAGCACAGGAATGGCGACGTCGACGAGTGCGCCCCTCAATACGCTCGGCGCTGCAGGAGCGGGCGATGCGGCTAGCAGGCCGGGCGGTCAGACGTCGCCGGCGCAAGAGATCAGTCCGAGCAACTCGGGCACCGGCTGGATGGGGCCAACGACGCCCGGGCAGGCCGAGGTGCTGCCGGTGCTTGCAACGCGACGCCAGCGCTTTGGCGGCGGCGGCAGCGGCACGGCGGGCTCGACTGGCGGCGCGCAGAACGGCGCGGTAGCAGCCGAGGGCGCGTCCAAGCCGATCTTCCTCAAGGGCCTGTTCAGCGTGCAGACGACGTCGACCAAGCCGCGCACGGTGATCCATGCGTCGCTCGTCAAGGTGCTCGACCGCATCGGCGTGCAGTACCGCGAGATCCGCGGCGGATACGAGTGCGTGCATCTGCCCAGCCTCGACTTTTCGGGCTCCGACTCGATGGGCAAGGGCAATGCGAGAATCCCGCTCGAGACGGTGGCAGCTGCTGCTGCGGCGGCGGCGGCTGCCGAGGCCGAGACGGCTGAGCGCTCGCCCACGTCCGAGGAAGGTGGCAAGGGTCCCAAGCGCAAGCCGAGCCGGCTCTCGTTTGTATCTGGCCGAAGCAAGGATAAGGATCGTGCGGGGCGCAGGGATGGTTCTGTGGCCGACAGCATTGGAGGTGGTGCGGGAGAGCGGGCGGCGGGTACGGTTCGCAGTCGAACGCCGTCGTTGACGAGCAGTGCGGCATTTGCCCAGGCGGGCGAGGCAGCCGCTTCGCCGCCACTGCCGCCCAAGACGCCGTCGAAGCCGTCGCTGCTGACGCGCTCGCCGAGGCAGCGCGCCGACTCGATGGGCGCCAACTCGATGCTTGGTCGCTCGGGCTCGCGCGACTCGAACCTCATGCTCGATGCGAGCATGGCCGGAGACACGTCGGTGGCATCGCCTGCAGCAGGTGGCGGCGGCGCGGTGATGGCCAAGACCATGGGTGCGGCTCAGGCGACCGAGCTGGCAGTGCGCTTCGAGATCTTTGTCGTCAAGGTGCCACTGCTGCTGGGCGTGAATGGTCTGCAGTTTAGAAGGGTCGGTGGCAATCCGTGGCAGTACCAGATGCTCGCCAAGCGCATCCTGCAGGAACTCAAGCTGTAGCGGTCGGTATCGATGGAGTTGTGGTTTTGTTATTTCCCCCTGCATACTCTCTTGGCAAATTTACGAATGGCGATGGCATCATGCTATATGCTTGGGCGGGGGTTGTGGTACTCTGTTTGTCAATTGTGTGCATCGCTTTCAGCTGGCGAGGCTCTGCGTGCAACGATCAAGCTCATCGATGAAGCGTGCAAGGGCCCACATGCGGGTGAGAGCGACGGACCATGGTCTTGGGCAAAGACTCGAAAAGGGTTACTGCTGCGCGGGAAGAGGGGTTGGGCGCCGGGGAAAAAACCGGGTTATCGGGCGGGCAGGAGGTGGCAGCCGAGGTGCCGATTGGCGCACAGACGCCTTCTCCACACTCTGAGCGGAGGATGTGCATGCTTGCCTTTTGCCACACCACCATCCACACGGCATTCGCGATCGGAAATGATGCTCAGACCACAGACAACAGCGGTGCGGCCCACAATAGCGCGCGTTGCAGCAGCGCGCACTGCCAGCCAGCATTGTCGGCATCAAATCCACCACGCCGCCGCGACAACGTCGAGTCATACAGATCCAACACCACGATCGCTCCACACCTCGGGCCCAGCAACATCACGCTGCGGCTCACGTCGCTCAGCACGGTATGCTGGCATGCAGTATTCGACATTCCACTCGAGCTGCAGGTCGCCTTCGAACGCAGAGTCGACGGCGGGGTCGTTACACGCGCCAGCATCCGACATGCCTTCGGTGAGCCCACGCTCGCTGGTCAAGTACCTCGACACGTACGTCGTCGGCCAGACGAAGGCGAAGAAGGTGCTGGCCGTGGGTGTGTGGAATCACTATCTGCGGGTAGCGTCGAATCAGCGCATGCGCGAGGAGCACGAGCAGCGGCTTGCCGATGCGCAACCGGACGATGCCACGCCTGCATCGCGATCGCTTCGACTGGGCAAGTACCAACGCGACGACAGCCCGCCGGATGGCGATGAGGCGATCGGGGAGAGCTGGAAGGCGCACCATGCGATCCAGCAGGAACGCGCGGCGGAACGCACGCGCGATCCACACGGCGAGGCGACGCGCAGCCTCATGTTCGGACGCGCCGAGCGCGAGTGGCTCGTCAACGCCGGCGGGCCCCAGGCGATCGATGAGACGAGAGGAAAGCCAGAGCGCAAGTTCGGCGACACCGCACCAGCGAGAAGGGCGGTTCAGACGCCAGCAGAGGAGGCGGGGCAGCGCCTCAGTCAGGGCGGCAGCGAGACGGCGCTGGCAGAGGCGGCGTCGAGAATGCACGAAGCCGTGCTGTCGGACTACACGCCTGCGGCCAAGCGCACTCTTCCGCCGGCCGAGGTGGGCGAGGAGGAGGCGCCGCTGTACTTTTCGTCCAACTCGATCGCGCACCGCTCGCCCAACACCAAGCCCGTCCCGCGCGCGCGCACTTCGAAGCCCGAGGCGGACGTGCACAAGTGGGAGTCGCCTTCCGACCGGGCTGCGCACGCCGCGAGCTTGGCGGAAGAGCGCACACGGCGAGCGCTTCGCGCTGCACATCAACGGCTCTCCACCCCCACCTCCTCGGCCGCCTCAGCGACCCCGCCACCGACGGGGCTGGGCTCGTTCATGTCATCGCAGCCCGGGACTTTGCCGTTTTTCGAAAAGTCCAACATCCTGCTGCTGGGCCCGTCGGGAAGTGGCAAGACGCTGCTGCTGCGGACGCTGGCGCAGGCGCTGGACGTGCCGTTTGTGCACGTCGACGCCACGCCGCTCACCATGGCCGGCTACGTGGGCGACGACGTGGAGACCATCATCCAGCGGCTGCTCGTCGAGAGCGGCTGGGACGTCGAGCGTGCCCAGCGCGGGATCGTGTGCATCGACGAGATCGATAAGCTCCGACGCGGAACGGGCGGTGGGGGAGCGGGGGGCAAGGATGTGGGTGGCGAGGGCGTACAGCAGGCGCTGCTGAGAATGCTCGAGGGGACAACCATCCAGGTGGCCGACAAGAGCGGTGCGGCGGCAGCTGGTGGGGGCAAGGCGAAACCGCAACAGGCCTGGTCGCCACTCAATCCGGGTGAGGGAGGAAAGGAGCTGGGGGCTTGGTACAACTCGAGGCGGCAGCGTGTGGGTGGGCGTGATCCTGCGGGAGGCGTGCAGGGCCAGGGTGCGTCGGTGAGCGTGGACACGAGCTCGATCCTGTTCGTGCTGTCGGGAGCGTTCGTGGGGATCGAGGAGACGATTCGGAAGCGGTTGGCGTCGCACGGGGCGACGTTGGGTACGGCCGAGCTGCTTGCGCGTCTGGAGCCGGGCGATTTGGAGCAGTACGGCTTGATCCCCGAATTCATCGGCCGCGTACCGGTGTCGGTGGTGCTGGCACCGCTGACGCACGACGACCTTGTGCGCGTCATGACCGAGCCGCGCAACAGTCTGGTGGACCAGTACACGTCGCTGTTCCAGCTCAACGGCATCACGCTGCACATGACGCGCGGCGCAATCGAAGAGGTCGTCCACCGCGCTCTGGGCACGTCCGCACCTTCACTAGCATCAAGCGCATCAGCAACGTCCAACAAGGACAAGGCGGAGGCCAAGGTGGAGGCCAAGGTGGAGCGGGTGGCGGGAGGAGGAGCACGCAGTCTACGTCGCATCATGGAGGAGATCCTGCTGGACGCCTTCTACGAATCCTACGGCAGCTCGTCGGTCAAGTACATCCTCGTCGACCGTGCCGCCGTGCGCGATGGACACGTCAAGCTCTTCTCGCGCGGTCAGAAGTTCGACTTTGACGCCCAGTGCGGCCTCGACTCGGAAGCTCCATCCGCCACCAGACCACCTCCACGCAAGGATAGGCACCAAGTCGTCGATCCCACACGCGCCGCTGTGGCTCGACTCAAAGCACGCGCCATGGTGCGCGCACGACTGCGACGCACCAACCGCCTCGTCGATCCCGTCATCTACATCTGATCCCCTCCCCCCACACACACACACGTGGCACGAAAACAAAGCATGTTTTACAATTGCAAAGCCAAGCGCCGCCTAGACTTTACGCCTCGGGACGAAGATCAAACAGCACCAGTTCGGCGTTGGCGCCGCCCGTGTTGGTGAAGCTGAGCGTATCGCCTACACTTGCGTGCTTGATGTACGCACCGTCTCCCTCGGCCAGCACAACGTCGGAGCCACTAGCGTCCTTGAAGGTCAGCTGGGCTTCGGACGCGCTGGTGGTTCGGGTACGGGGGTCTTTGTATCCCGAAGTCTGGGCGAGGTGGACGTAGAGCCAGCGCTCGCCCTGGGCGCCGGTATCGGTACCCACCACGTGGTCGACCTGCGTGGTGGGGGTGATGATGCTCATGCGCGTGACGAGATCCGCATGGCTTGGAATCACACCTCCCTTGGGCAGATCACCTGGCTTGACCTCGCCCAGGGTGCGTGCGGGTTGAATGAGCGTCTTGAACGCGTTGGTCTTTTCCTCGTCGCTGCAGTGTGCGGTGTAGTACCTCGGTTCGAGCCGCGGGATGTCGGGGGTGTACCAGATCTGCAGAAAGTGCACCTCGTCTTTGCCGCCGTTCTTTTCGCTGTGGCGAATACCCGTACCGGCACTGGTGAACTGTACATCCCCACGCTGGAGGACCTCGGTGTTGCCCATGCTGTCCTTGTGCTCGAGCGAGCCGCGCAGCACGATGCTAAAGATCTCAGCCTCGCGGTGCGGGTGCGCGCCGAATCCCGTGCCGGCTGCAACGCGGTCCTCGTTGATCACGCGCAGGTTGGAGAACTGCATGTGCGTAGGATCAAAGTAGTTGGCGAAGGAGAAAGTGTGGTACGTCTTGAGCCATCCATGGTCGGCATGACCGCGCGCAAACCATCGCCGCGGCGACACCGTCATCTTGGAAAGCTGCTTTGCTGTGGCCATGTTTTGGTTCGTTGTTTTTGGTTGCGTATGTGTGTGAGTGTGTGTGAGTGTGTGTGTGTGTGTG